CCTGTATATACACATACAAACACATATTTGAACAATGTAAAAAGAACCCAAACACAAACAAAAATCAGAAAGGTAATATATGAAAATGTTGATAGCAGTTGTCAGCAAATACTGGGGTTAAGGAAGTTTTTTCCTTCCTTCTAATATTCTGTTTTTTCCAAAATAAGAATATACTATGTTTATAATCAGAAAACAAATAAAGGCTGATGAAATAAAGGTAAGAATTATAGGAAGAAAGGTCCTTACCTAGGGAGGTCACATTTCCATAATTCTCCAGCATCACATCCCAGTACAAGGCCCTCTGAATTGGGCCCAGACAAGCCCATTCCTCTGAAGTGAAGCATACTGATACCTCCTCAAACATCACCAACTCCTGAAATAACAGATGTGTTTGAGATCACCAATGCCCAGGAGCTCCTATACTGAAAGTTTCCTTTCACTTCTAGGGAAGGGATACATTGTGAGACCATGAGGTTCACAATGGCCATCAGGGAGACATAAGGAAACCACATATAAAGTGTGTCTTCCAATAGCGTGGACCTTGATTTAGAGATGGGGCCTGGACACCCAAGCACTAGGATAAGAGAGGGCACTTCAGCCACAATTAGGTAGCGCAGATAGGAGGGAAAGAGGATGCAAATCTTACCTGGGGCTGGGCTGTTAGGAGCATAAGTGCCATTAATTGATTTCTTGGATTCTCTTCCTGAGAAAGGGCAGAAGCTTCAGGTACAGAAGAATCTGAGGGAGGGGAAAAAGCTGCATGTGAGATTACTGCTATTCTTGCTGACCATCTCAAGTCTAACATCTCCAACAAATCAGGAATTCAGAAAGATCCAGAACTGCCAGGCCTAGGCAATGATGGTTATAAAATGATCTACAAACCATTTCTGAATGACCCCCACATGCAGAGCTGGAATAATACAAAGAGCAGCAATAAGAATAGATACAGGGTCCGAGGGATCCAGGAAAGGACAAGGGAGAGAAGATCAGGAACAGCAAAAATAAACTGGCACTGTAAGGGATTTCTATATAGGAAGCAGCTCCCTGGGTGTAGGGGAATGAGACACAGAAAGGGTCCTGGAAAAGTCCAAAGCCAAGGCCACTGAGTAAGTACCATGTTGAGGATCCTGGAGGTTGAACACCACTTGGTCAGTAAGAGGATTTGGGCAAATCTCAGCTGCTATGTGGCGGCCAATGGGTGTGGGAGGTGTTGTTCCTGGAGTGCTCATCTCCTTCTGGAAAACGTCCTGATCCTTGACAAGGACTGGAACCTGGAGATAAGCAAAACAAAATAAGCTGGCTCTTCTTGTACCTCCAGAAAATGGACTCACCTAACCACCATGGACCTCTTTCTGCCCACAATCTAGAACTGTGTGATCACAGAGACCCACCTCAAGTATGAAGCATCAAAACAGCAGTAAAGCTTTGCATTGAGAACAATGGAGGTGCCCTCTAGCCCCACTCATGGCACTGGTGACCTCTCCCATAGGAGACTGTACAGAACGGTGGGAACAGAAGCCAGACCTGGGTGTGAATTAAGGAAGGAATGGGAAGTAACAAGCAGTAATTAAGAGCATGTATTTTAGCTTCAGACCTAGTTTTAGATCAGACTTGGGTTAAATCACATCTCTTCTACTTATTATTACCTCCTACTAATTTACCCCTTTACTTATCCCTTCCTGCTTCAATACAAGTAATACTGGAGTAGGCACCAAGACACTTGGCTTTGTGGCTAGCTAGATGTCTGCCTCAGTTTTCTTATCTCTCAAATGAAAGGGATGATTAGTAATTTGTAATGAAATATATGGCTCTAAAAGTCTTCATTTTTATGATGAAAACAAACAATGCCCATCCTTGATGCCACTCCTAAGTGTGAGTTATGATTCACATTTCTTACAAAGCAATGTTTGTACTGGTCTATAGATTTAAAGAAAAAAAATCACACACACGAGAGGCTATATTAAGATCCCAATCTAATGGTTAAGGATGTAAATCTTCTCAGAAACAATTATTGCAACCTAATCCTTAGGCTTGCAGAATACCCAGTAGGGGCACACAAGGGAGGTCTTGCCAGATCTGAAAAGCTTTATTCTTTTTTTTTTGTGAGACAGAGTCTCACTTTGTTGCCCCAGGTAGAGTGCAGTGGTGTCATCACAGCTCTTTACAACTTCAAACTCCTGGGTTCAAGTGAACCTCCTTCCTCAGCCTCCCCAGTAGCTGGGACTACAGGTGCATACCACCATGCCTGGCTAGTTTTTTCTATTTCTTTTTTTTTTTGGTAGAGACAGGGTCTTGCTCTTTCTGAGGTGGTCTCAAACACCTGACCTCAAGCAATCCTCCTGCCTCAGCCTCCCAGAGTGCTAGGATTACAGGCGTGAGCCACCGCACCTGGACACGAAAGCTTTATTCTTGTTATGCTTCTGCCTTTTACAATCCAGGCTTACATCACCATTCCAAATAGACTTACAGAAACAATACATAAGTTTCTGTTTAGGGAAACACTTAATAAACATTATCTTCTTCAGATTCTTGAACCAAACTCAGCATCAGCAAGCATCACCTAGGGGATAAAACAAAGTCAATGCTTTTGTGCTGATTCTGAGTTGAGCTCAAAGACTTCAATCACAAATCCAATTATCTACAAAGATATTCTATAGTCTGAATAGCTCATGAACTTGCTTCAATTAGTATTAGGGTTACCAGTGTGCTGTTAATTATTAATGAAAATAATAGGATCACCCTGCAGCCCAGCTTCAATTATTTCCTTCTCTCTATCCCAACATCCCCTGCCCCTCCCCACCTTTCTCACTTTTAGTGCTGGTCCATCGAGGTCTTTCTGCAGTTCCTCTACCAAGGCCACAGCCTCCTCGCCACTGCCAGGGCGATGGAGCTGCACCCAGGTCCGAATCTCCCCAGGCAGGATGCTCAGAAACTGCTCCAGCACCAGCAGCTCCAGGATCTGCGCCTTGGTGCGTGCTTCTGGCCTCAGCCACCGGCGACAGAGTTCCCGGAGCCGGCTCAGAGCCTCCTGGGGTCCAGATGTCTCGTGGTAACGTAACTGTCTAAAGTGCAGGTGGGAGGTCTCCCAAACAGAGGAGCTGCTCCCTTGGAAGCTGGTTCCCCATTTCCAGGTATCGTCCTTTCCTTTCACAAGACCCTCTTGTCTCAGAGCGCTGTGGGCCCAATTTTCTCTTGTCATTGTCTTTTAAGAAAGGTTCCTCTCCAGGTCTCCTTAATTCTTGACTTCTTCCTGAGAGTTTGGAGAATACCATCTACAAGACCTCAAGAAATCAATGTTAAAGTTAACACAGAGAAATAACCGAGCTTTCCAGCCCCAGGTAACTCCCAGTAATAAAGAGAAATTCTGTGAATGCAAGGTTCTAGATTCCAAAGAGTGCTTCCTCTGACAGAAGCCCCTTGCCTAAGGCTCTGGTGACACAGACTCATGTAACCCAGATGACCGCTGAAACCAAACACATGAAATTCCTTTGGGCTTTATTCACAGGATCTAATTACAACAAAGTCTTTACCACTCTAACAATGGGCATCCTACCCTGGCTACTCCTGAATAACCTGAACAAGTTACATCACTAGTTCCTACCTCATGGGGTTGTTGTGAGAATCGGATGTCTAAATACATTTCAAGTTTTTGAACAGTGCCTGGTACATGAGTTCAAATGTTGTTATTATCCTTCTATAACTAGCACTCTTTCCTATGTTCGGCGGAGTCAACACGTAATCATGGTCTTAATCCTGGTACTTATGAGATAAAATCCTAACACCTCCTCAGTTAACAAAGAAAAGCTGATATAAGTTCTGTGTAGCTTTGATGTACTTTCAATTCTCTGACAATTGTTCATTCTGTTAAATCAAAATATTTGGATAAATGTGAGTAAATTTTTATTATGTAAAACTTAGCCTTGTTGTTCTCTAGAACTCATCTGTTCCTTAGAAATAACATTTTTCTGATTAGAAAACAAAAAATTTTCAAAACTGGAAAACATACATAAAACCAGAAAATAATCACTTCTATTATTTTGGACCATGTCCTTCCAGTCCTTTTTCTATGCACCAATTTGGGTCACAGACTGGATACAACTGTACTGCTCTATAACTTTCTTTTCTCACATATTATGTTGTGAACAAGATAATAAATATTCTTCATTATTTTTAAGAGCTGTATGAGTTCCATTCATACTTAAGTAGTTCCCTGTTGCTGGATATTTAGATTATTTCTAATTTTCCCCTATTATAAATACAGCCACAATGACTACCCTTGCTAACAAATTTTTGGATACCCCTCTGCTTCCTTCTTCAGGATAAATTCCTAGAAGAAAAACTGTTAGGCCAAAGGGTACAAATATTTTTAAACTTTTAAGATTATAATAGTTATTTCACCATCAATGACATATGAAAGCATCCTCATTAATTTTTATGTAACACACAGACCCTTAAAGAGCTTGCTTATAACCAAGCAGGGGAAGCAGAAATAGAAACATAACTTCAATATAATGTGTAAGTCCAAATAATAAGAGAACATAAAAGCACAGAAAGGATTCATGAAAGGTAACTTAGGGTTGGGCTTTAAAGGAAAAATAAGACCACTGGAGTATCAGGAAAGCCATTCCAGAAGAAAGAAACTACATTTTTAAAAGTGAGGGAGTGATAGCACGAATAGCTCTGTTAGAAATGCACTTTGCAAACCAGAGAAGGAAAGTTTGCACTTTGCAAACTCTGGAGGCAAGACTGTAGGAGTAGTGCAGGGAGAGGTAAACAGAAGTCAAATTCTAAAGGCTCTTGAGAAGCAAAATAAGGAAGTGATCATGTCCTACAAGTGATGAGCAACCATTAAAGAGGTTTTACCTTACATTTTCCCTAGTTATTTTTAAAAATAGATAATATATTCACTTGATTCAAAATTTAAAATTATAAAATGCATACTGTGTAAAGTTTCCCTCTCCCCATTAGTTTCTTTATATATCTTTCGAGCTATTTACGTATATATTATACAAGTGTGTGCATGTTTTGTATTCCTTTTTTTCACAAATGCTAGAATCATGAATAATGTGCTGTATCTTCCTTTTCTCAGTTAATAAGGTATCTTAGAGATCTCGCCTGTCAGTACATAGCCCCTCTCCCTGTTTTTATGGATGTATGGTATTACTGCATGGATGTATCATAACTTATCCACTCCAGCATTGATAGGATGTTTGGGCAGTTTTCAATTTTTTCTTATTACCAATAATATTATCATGGATAACCTTGGGCATACATCAATTTGCATGTGTGTAGGTATATATAGGAAAAGTTCCTTAAAGCAGAATTGCAGGCTCAAAAGGCATGTGCCTTTATTATTTTGATACTGCTAATGAGCTCTCATTAGGATTGTACCAACTTGCAATTTATACCACCATCAGCAAGAGCTATATGGGAGTGCCTATTTTCTCACTCTCTCACCAATACAGCTGTCAAAGTTTGGGATCTCTGCCAAATTTTTAACTTGCATTTTGAGTGAATGAGTATATTGAGTCATTTATGTATTTTTTCAATTAACTATTCATATATGTTGTTCATGTTTCACATGAACAACAGTGGAGTGTTGGGTCTTGTTAGTTTGTACACACTTTTTATCATAGGAAAATTAGTCCCTTGTTTACAATGGGAGGTGCAAATTTTTCTCAGTTTGTCAAGTGTCTCTGTGACTTTGTCACATGTCATGTGACTTTGTTTATAGTGGTTTTTGCCATGCAATTAATGTTTTCTTTTATGGCTTCTGGGTTTTGTGCCATAACTAGAAAGGCATTTCCCACTCTATGCATGAAGGGAGTCTTAACTGGGGTCAGGAATCTATAAGGGAGGAATGATGAGGGAGGGAGCACTGGATATCTGGAAGGCCAGTGAGGCTTTTGCAATAGTATAAACAAATAATTAAGTTCTAAAGGAAGTAGCAGTAGGGATAAGACAATTGAGAAAAACTTGGCAGTTCTTGATAATGGATCCAGGGGTGATTTAAAAGAATTTTTTAAAAGGATTTTAAATAACTTTCTACAGTAAACTATCAGAACTCTATTTACATTTACTTTGCAGATAAAAATAACAAATCTTTAAATATACATTTTGTTTGCTTCTCACAAATGGTTTCGAGGCAGAAATTAAAAAGAGCAAAAGGGCCTAGTATGGTGTCTCACACCTGTAATCCCAACACTTTAGGAGGCCAAGGAGGGAAACTGCTTGAGGCCAGGAGTTGGAGACCAGCCTGGGCAACACAGTGAGATCCTGTATCTACAAAATAATAAAAGAATTAGCCAGGCATGCTGGCACACACCTGCAGTCCCAGCTACTCAGAAGGCTGAAGCAGGAGGACCCCTTGAGCTCAGGAGTTTGAGGCTGCAGTGAGCTATGATTAGGACACTGCACTCCAGTCTGGGTCACAGAGCAAGACCCCGTAATTAATTAATTAATTAATAAAAAGAAAGGAAAGGAAGGAAGGCAGGCTCTGAGGAGCTAAGTGATTCATTCAAGGCCACTCAGCTAGTTAAGATGTGGGAGCAAATTCTGAACTCAGAGATTTTAATTCCAAAAGTCCAAAATAATTCTATCTAAGAAGAGACTTATGAAACCCAAACAATTGTTTCCAAACACCAGTCCATGATAAAGCTTTAATCTGGCAAGCTGTAAAAATAGAAAAACAATTACTATACCACTGTCATTGCCACTGACACGTTGGCAATAACTTTTTGTTGTTTTTTTTGTGCAAAGGACAACATTTATTCTGAGTTTATGGTCTCAGTGTTAAAATGTATTCTCTGAAGTAATGGTGGTATGGGTGGTTTAAGTTTGCTTTTTAAATACCATTATACTACAAAATTAAAAAATGATAACTGGTCCATCCCTTAAAAAAAAATCCATCCCCAGAAATCTGGGGTACACTCGTCGAGGAAAGTCTCAAAAAGTTTCTGTGTATCAGCCTCAGAGAAGACTGGGGAAAAGCAGAAAGGCCTGAGCTGAGAAATCTGGCTATAGAGGCAGCTGTTCTGAAAACGGCAACAGATCCTACCAGATTCAAACACCAGTATGCACACACACACAAACTCAGAGGTGCTGTCCTCAATACCTTCCCTAACCCAGCTGCGTACCCAAGCCGATGCCACGCCGTCGAACCCCAACCTGGAGCTGAGGAGAGGCTGTACCGGGGGTCAGTGCCAAGGAGGGGTGTGCGGCACCAGCAAGCGTCCAGGGCCGCCCTCCGCGGACGCCCACCCGCCCCCGAGCCCACCCCTCTCACCCGGGGCTCCCGCTGCGGCTCCAGCCTTGGGTATCGCAGCCTCGGCGCCAAGCCACTAGGAGATGACACAGGAACTGGACCAGGCTATAGGCCTAGAATAATGGCCGAGCCGTGGATACGGCAGCTTCCGGTGGCTCCCCGCCCCCCAATCCCCGGCTCTCTAGGAAGCCGCATCTCTATGGTTCATAGGTTTTGTGGTTTTTTTTTTTTTGTTTGTTTTGTTTTGTTTTTTTTGCCCCTTCCCAGGGGTGGTGAGGAGGGGCGGAGCTCCTGGGCCCTTGTGTCTTCGTTCTTCCCGTCAAATGAGGCGGGGCAGCTGTGTTTCAGACCGGAAGGGTGCTGAGATGAAAGACAGGGCCCAGGACTTTAGGATGCTTGTTGCCTCCTGAAAGAGTTGGACCTTTCTGTTTTAATCTGCATTTCGATTGAGGTTGATTAGAGAGTAATCGCTCATATGTCTGAATGACCTGTGGGTGACTTTTGTGGTCTCTTTTACCTATGGCACTTCTCACTGTAAATAATGACATGGCTTATAAATCACTCTCTTGTCAATTCACTTGCTTGCCCAAATAGATAATGGAGTTCTGATATTCAATAGTAATCAAGTTGAAGCTCTTGAAAGAGACGGTTATTCTAGTTGTTCATCACCCTGGGTAAATTTAGGTGTATACAAAGGAAGCTGGAATTCTTATTCTCTCTTTGGTCTTCAATCTCTTAGGTTTGGACTTCTGGAATAGACACCTCTATATGGGCCACATCTGTATGGATCCAGTGTATCTAACATCTGGAACCATACTGGGTAGTAGATGAATGTTGAATGAATGTTATGAGCAAATAAACATATTTGTTATACTGTTTATTTCCATATAGTCTCTCCTGGCTTTCATTAAACATTTGCTTAAACATTTCAGCCTCTACTCTTTCATTCATTCCTTCAACAACTATTAACCGAGTACTTGCCATGTGCCAGACACTGTTCCAGGCACTAGAGACACAAATGAGGTAAAGTCCCTGCTCTCATGGTGTTTACATTTCTAGTGGGGGTAGACAGAAAACACGCAAATACAAAAATGTGTCAGGTAGTGATAAATGCTAAGAAGAAAGAGGGTAAGGAGGACCCAATAAAGATACTGGGAAGCAACAGCCAACCAAGTAGGAGGGGAAGCAAGAGATAGTACTTTATAGGTCTCAGAGCATGAATGGGTAGGTTTTGAAATATTAATCAACGTGGTCTTTGCTCCCACCCCCCCCACTAAATTATTTTACTTATAGCCTGAGGCCCCCCCTTCTCCTCCCCTGCATACCCAGGTAGACAGGGGTTATTCATTATGGGACTGGAAACAAAGGGGACAAAAGCTATACTGTTAGGTCAATATAACCCTTTGGGAGGCTGAAAAACATTCCTGCCTAGCAAGTGTTTCGCTGGGAATGAAAAAAGGAATGGGAGGAGCCAAAATGACCAAGTAGGCTGGGACCACTAACCAGTGAGCCTGTAGTCATCCACATGCCTACCAAGCAGTGGCCTGGAAGCATGTAACCACAGAGTTGTTAGCTGGTGAGGACCAGTAATTGTCAATGGCCAGCCCAGGGCCCCAGTTTTGTCATTTAGTTTGTGCCCTAATATTCTGCCTAGTAACCATCTGATGGTCAGCGAACTTGAAGCACTCTCACCCTTGCCCTGAGATGAAGGACATGGTAACCTCGTGGAGTGATGGAGTTGGGAAAGGAACACCTTATCCTTGAACAAGATGCAACTATACGGAAGCTGTTTAAAGTGGCCCAGAGAACTGGGACAGTAGTGAAATACATCACATATCCTCTGTTTACATATACACACACTCCTGGTATTTAGAATTTCCAAATGTACAGGTGAAAAAAAACTAGAAAACAAGAAATAAATAAGTTCGAAATAGGCATTTGAGAAGAGGCTGCAGGCAGAGGACTGATCATTTAAGATGGGCTAAGACCTTAGAATATGGATCAACTAAAACTGAAATCCTAGTCTGAATGAAAACATTGTGTTTCTCATCCTTCTATAAATCCCCACTCTACCAGGGTTCTTTCTAGTTCACATTGGAAAGTGATTGACCTATGACCAAGGATCTTGCACAATGCCATATATGTAACAAAAGCTGAAAATCCCCAAGACCTGCAAGCTGGAGACTCAGAAGAGGTGAAGGTATAGTTCCAGTCTGAGCCCAAAGGCCCAAGAATCAGGAAAGCCAATGGTGTAAGTTCCAATCTGAGTTCTAGTCTGAGTCCAAAGGCAGGAGAAAACCAGTGTCCCAGCCAGAAGACAGGCAGAGAGAGCAAATTCTCCCTTACTCAGTCTTTTTCTTCTACTCAGGCCTCCAACAGATTGGACGAGACTCTCCCATGTTAGGGAAGACAACCAGTCTACAGATTCCAATGTTAATCTCATCCAGAAACACCCTCATAAACATACTCAGAACAATGTTTAACCAAATATCTAGGCACACAATGGCCCAATCAAGGAGACACACACATAAAATTAACCATCAAACATGGATTCCTCCAAATATAGTTCAGGGTGTTGGTTACAGAATAGTGTATCCAAGCACTAAGGAATATGCATGGTGGTTAGATTCTGATCAGAGTCACTTAGAAGGATTCATTCCATATCTGGATGTCTCTCTTGGACATTATCTCCCCCATTTACCTTTACATCCTCAGAGAGGGATCTTGTAGGAACAAGGAAGTCATAGTGAAGGGAGAGCTGGAAAAGGGGACAGGCCTCTTGTGAAAAGCCAAGCAGGCTGGGAGCAGAGAGGGGTAAATCCAGTCTAGACTGGAAAGCTTGAGGGAAGATAAAACAGCCATCCTCTCCGTGATTTGGAGGGAGATAGAAATTCCATTGTCCATCCTTTTGCCTTCATCAGAGGCCTATCCGGACAGGCTGGGAAAAGGGAGTATTTGGTAGTAGAGGATTACAAAATCAGAGGACCTGAGCTTGTGGTACCTATGGCTTTGATAGGAGATTTAGGATCTGAAAAGCTTAAGGGGTTGTTATGGTCCTAGTGAGAAAGTAAGTGAGATACTGAGGGGTCTGCTCTGGGCCTGCTCTAACCTATCTCAAGTGATAGATGAAAATGAAAATCTTCAGGTTGTCCCAAGTTGGTCTTTAGCCCAGCCTTGTATTACTAGGCTGATGATGCCATCATCAATCAGAAGAGGATCGTTGACCCTTGAAAGAGGTCTTTCCTGGTGTCAAGAATTACTCAGCTGCACTTCCTGTATCTCCACCCTCAACACACACACACACACACACACACACACACACACACACACACACACACGAGTTTTCTGCAGTGTATAACTGGCAACTACAAAACATTTAACTTGAATGAAGCTAAAGAGTTCAAAGCAGAACCATGAGGCACAGCTGGGACATCAGAAAGAAATAGAGAACATAAACACTACTTATTATGTTGTCAGCCTCTTTCATATGGTTAATTTCATTTACTCCTTATATGAATCCTTTGAGACAGATAATAGTGCAACAATTTTAATAATACTGAAACGAAGTATGAGTAAGGTTAAGTAATTTGTTTAAAATTTCCTTCCTAATAACCAGTAAGGCCTTAAAATCCAAGGTAAGTGCTCTTTCCATCACTATATATAGGCTTTTGTACACACAGAAGCAAGCAAATTTGTCTCAATTTGCCTGAAGGCAAGACACAGTTAGGGAGAAGGGGGAGGAAAGTCAGGACAGCCAGTGCGAAGAGGATCTTCAACCTGCTGAATATTTTAGCTGTGGTCAGGTCTTAGACAACTCATGCCAATGTGAATGCAAACCAGCATTGATATGCTCTGTTCACTGGGAATCCTTCTAAGTCTTTGATAATCTGGTGGGATGGGAGGCAGGGAGGCCTGCTGTCTTGGCTTATACCTCCTAGACTTTCTATAGAGGATCATGACGCTTGAATATACTCTGATATAAAGAGGCCCCAAAGTGGTAGTTCTAAAGTCGATCTAGTATCTCCAAGCCTTAGAGGCGTTTGGGTGTCTGGGGAGTAGAACGAAATGTAACTGAGGCCCTTCCTAGTCCCAGATATTTTGCAGATATTTTACCATTGGAAAAATAACGGTAGTAGTTACTACACAGGTGAAGGGCATATTCTGAAACACTTCCAATTCTTTGAGTCGGATATTAAAAGCAGCTTCTGCTTGTTACCTAAAGATGCCCTTTGTGCTGTATCCCACGGTTGCCTCTATCCACTTGATTTTTGTGCAGCTATAGGGGAATGGCTCTACTCATCCTGACAGCCTTCCATCTCCAGCACACACATGATATCTCACACTATTTTGCCTGAGGGCTTCCTCTAAAAGTTCAGAAGCATACTTAGCCAGGTCTCTGGCACAGACTGGAAAAAGTGCATAAGAATAATATTGGAAAACATCACTGATATTTATAAGAACAGCAGATGTTTATTGGACAAATTATCACTATTTCCTGCCAAAACAATTTTATAACTCCAGTTTTATAACATCAGAGGTGATTAAAGACAATCTAGTGACTAAAAACAATCTAACAATAAGAGCATCCTTTTTTATTTATATTGAATGGAAAAAAATTTTTTAAAGTCTGTCATTGAAGATATAAAGCTGCAATGAAATTTAGTCTTAAGGGATTTAGATTCAACATAATTACTCAGCTACCTAAAGCCTTTTTTAGTTTCAATTTTCTTCCAAGTAAGACTTAGCACAGGACATATCATCTACAAAAAAAAAAAAAAAAAATCTCTAAGTCCAGGGAGATACTTTCCTCTCTAAGCAGAATTCTTTGCTTTACATATAGGCCTTTAATCAAGGCTATATAAAATGAGATTTTAACATTTTCCTCTCAACTAAAAAAGAGCACATATATTTTTATTCCATACAGGATCAATTCTACACAACCAAGATGTCTGTGGCCAAAATTATTGCCTCTTCATATTCCTCAGACATATTCAAGATATCAAAAATATAAGTGAAAAAATGTGCATCCTCAAGAGGTGGGAAGATGACAAAAACAGGGAGGGTAATACACAGTAGTCTAGTGAGGTACACTTCAAAAGAGCTGGGGGTTTGAGGGAGAATAGAGAAGAAATGCCGGTACAGAGAGGTACAGGGGTTAGGGGAGACAAAAACTAGCAACTGAGGGGCTGCAGAGTGAGCATTGCCCTTAGGGAACAGCCAGGTTTCCATTAGAACAAGAAGGTAAGAAAACACATTCAAAGAGAAGTCCCTGAATTCCAAAGGGTATCATGAAGGACTTGAAAGAATGGTAAGGGATGCATGCTCAAACTCTGACTGAGGTAACAGCTGGCAGTCCTGGTAAACTCCTAGAGGAAGGTAGGTGATGAGTCGACATTATATTGCAAAATATTTATCTGAAGGATGCAAGGACCTGTTGTCAACATTTTCTCCTGCAGCTTAAGGCAGGTATCAGCCTAGGAGATGGGTTAAGCCTCCTTGAGGGACTATAATCATAGCTTGCCTGACACAAGAAATGTGAAGATCTCCTGTATTCAGATCTCTGAGTATGAGATGATATGATATCCTTCCTAGAACATATTTACTCTTGAAGATCACAAAGTCTTCTAAGATGAAAAAGAAAGCCTATCTGAAGAAAGCATTTCAGATACTATGACGCAGTAATAAAAAAAGGTGTTTTTTTTTTTGGAGATTATCTGCTCAGCAATATGGGGAGCATCAACAAGTTTGCTCAGGGATGATTTAACAGCCCTATTCCCTGAATGCTGCAAGTCTGTTCCAGGCCCTCCAGACCCTGCTTGGAATAACCATGCAAAGAAGGACTATTATATCACAAAATCATGTGTAAACCACTATCCTATCAAAATAGGACAAACCAAACAATCATTTTTCACATAAATATACCACCTTTACTTTTCTCTTTCCAGAACAGCAAGAAAGAAATGTATAACCCTTAAAACGAAATTATGAGGTATAGAAATAGGCCATAAATCTCATTCAGAGAAGATTGGTAGCATCTTCCTTATGAAACCATGGTCAAATAACTGTCCAGATACAATCATCTTTCACAGAGGTGGCTACCCAGGAGAACCCCAGTTGGTCTCCCACTCACATATAGAACCACTATGGAGGGCAGAGGCACTTTGGTATAGTGAAGAAAGCACGAATGTCAAAGTCAGATCTGAGCTCAAATCCTGGCTCCAACCACTTACTAGTCAGTTACTTAACCTCACTGAGACTCAACTGTCTTGCACACGTGTTGAAAGGATTAAATGAAATAACATATCCTCAGTAATTCCTCAAATAATAAATCACTATCTGCATAAGACAAATGACATTGGGCTTAGGGATTCATTATATACAAAGAAGAGGAGTAGCTAAGAATGGGAATATCCTGAGTGTTCCCAGATGGACTGTGAGCTAAGGAGTTTAAAAAGTTTTAAAAATTGAAGATGGCTAAGGCCTTCTCAGAGGGCTGGTAAACATCTGTAGTACTGACTGCTCAACACTGCTTCCCCTTTTGTCTGGGAAAAATTTTTCTCAATGATAAAAGAAAAAAAAAAAAACAGGTGGAAAAGCCTCAGTTCCTTTTCTCACTTCCTGACTTTGAAGGAGTTATGTGAAGAAAAGAAGATTGCAGCTGTGGCTACTGTCTTGCAACCACGAAGTTATAAAAAGTGAAAGACAAGATGCTGAAAATAACAGAGTTAAGATGGAAGTTTGATGAACCACAGAGTTGAGAAACCAAACACAGAACTGCTTACCTCTAGACTTCCCCTTAAGCCAAAGATCAATGTTCTTATGGTCTAGGCTACTAGTACTTGGTATTGTGTTCATTACACCTGAAAATATACTAAGTGCTACCTTAGGCAAAACTTCTCTTGAATCACTCTCTCTAAACTGTTAAGAAAAACACTGCTCCAATGTCCTAAATTTAAGCTATTATTATTTACCATGTGCCAGGCTTGTCATATACTACATGCGTTATCTCATTTAATCCTCACAACAACCATGTGAGGTAGGTGACTATTCCCTTTTTACAGGTAAGTCTGAGGCTCAGAGCAGTTAAGTGACTTGTCCAAAATTGACAAGCTAGTACATGGCAGACCTGGGATTAGAACACAGATCTCTCTGACCCCAGAGTATACTTTTGGACACAATCTCTACATAACATGTGAAGACAAAGTCTCCTGCTAGTTTTATATAAATGGTGACTATATCTCTTTAAAGTTTTTGAGCCTACAATTGTTTCCATTTCATTTTTTTCCTGGTTGTCTAGACATATATTGAAAAGATGGAGCCTAGGCAGTACTTTACCATCTGCAGATCCTTCCAAAACTGTGGGAAAAGAGGATTCAGTAAATTTTTGCTGTTTTCTTTTAACCTAACAGTGATATTATATACTTTGCTGACAACTCTAAAGTCAGCTTATCTTAAAACTGCAAAAGACAAAGGATTGGTATTTATATCACTAAACAGCAAATACGCTCTAATACGAAGTGACTTTTTCATTCTTCCACTGCTGCTAAGTGCCAGTGTTAGGGTGCAATCCCAGGAAACTGGACTCTATATACTATGTACCTTTAATAACATTGTTGAGTGAAAATGAGCATGTACTCACTGCATTTAAAAAATACTATATTTTCCTGAATATAAAAGTAGTACATTCTCACTGTAGAAAATCTAGAAAGCATAGAAAGGTATACTGAAGAAAATAGAAATCACCTATAATCCTATCACCCAGAGATAATCACTGTTCACATTTTGGTTTTGTTTACTTCATTCCCATTTTTTCCTATGAATAAATATTTTTTAAAAATTTGGATTTTATTCTATTGCTTTTTCTTTCTTTTATATTCCATTTTATTCAAATCATTTCTCCATGTCATTAAATATTCTTTTAAAATGTATGATGGCTGCAAAACCATCATATAGATAGACCATCATTCACTTAAACCTCATTCTGTTGAAAATCTAGTTTTCTTCTTTTAGTTATATATGATGCTGGCATAAATATCCCTTTTGTTAATCATTGTCTACTTCTGATTATTTTCCATGTATGGATTCATAGAAGTAGAATTAAGATTAATGATACTTAAAAATTGCTTTTCAGAAGAGTAGCAGTTAGCCAGTTAGCCCTATAACCAACAATATTTGTTATTTATGAGGTTTCTTTCTCCTCGTTATGTTTTCTCTGGTGTTGAATAAGCTGTGAGCTATACCGATAGGCTTTCCCACACTCGCTACATTTATAGGGTTTCTCCTTAGTGTGGGTTCTTAAATGTAGAATAACTTGAGAAGTCTGCCTGAAGGTTTTCCCACACTCGTTACATTTATAGGGTTTCTCTCCAGTGTGAACTCTCTGATGATCAATGAGGTTTCGATTAGAAGTAAAAGCTTTCCCACATTCATTACATTTGTAAGGTTTCTCCCTACGATGAAGTCTCTGGTGTTCATTCAGGGTCTTCCTTAAGATGAAAGCTTTTCCACACTCATCACATTCATAAGGCTTCTCCCCAGTGTGAATTCTCTGATGGTCCATAATCTTTGTATTAGAACCACATGTCTTCCCACACTCTTTACATTTGTAAACTTTTTTTCCTTTGTGCATTCTCTGATGTTGAGTAAGGTTTGAACTACGGCTAAAGGCTTTCCCGCACTCAATACAAGTGTAGGGCTTCTCCCCAGTGTGAACTCTGTGATGTGAAATAAGGCCTGAACTCCGACTAAAGGCTTTCCCACATTCTTTACATTCATAGGTTTTCTCCCCGCTGTGGATTCCCTGGTGCCTAATGAGGTGTGACTTACCACTGAAAGACTTCCCACATTCACTGCACGTGTAGGGCTTCAGTCCAGTGTGGATTCTCCGATGAACAACAAGGTTGGAACTATGACTGAAGGCTTTTCCACATTCCTTACACTTATACGGTTTCTCTCCTGTGTGGATTCGCTCGTGTACTGTGAGGTTTGCACTCTGACTAAAGGCTTTCCCACACTCTGTGCATACATACTGTCTCTTTTTAGCCTGAACTCTTGTGTTTATTGTAGGGTCACAGCACTGGCTACTGTCTTTTTCAGATTCTTGGTCACTCACTTCTCTAAGTGCTTTACTGTCTTTAACTATCTTATGTTTGAAGTTTCTCATCTTTCTCCTCATTTTCTCTTGCTTGGAGCATTCCAGTGGCCTCTCTATTCTTCTCTTTCCCTTCAGAGGAGCTTTCTCAATTTTGACTTCCTTGGCAAAATTCTCTGTGGAATTCTCCTGAAAGAAAGAATATAATGCAATTCTGACTTTTCAGGAATGATGCTTTGGAATCAACATCTCATCAGTCCCAGTTTCACCACCTGACAGAAGAAACAGAAATTGCACATGTCATCTGTTCACTGTACTAGAGGAAGGTGAATTATTCAAGGACATGATGTGGTAGACCACAGGGTCCATACGGAAGGATAAGGTAGGGGAACTGATCAAAAAGAAGAGAAAAATGCAGTTAGACATAGAGGCCAAGGTCAAGGCTTATGGAAAGCCAAGGGCTGAGAGAAGCCCAAAAGGTCCAGCATCAGAATAAGCAATGAATTAACGTAAAATCCACCCTAGTTTCTTCCTGCCTCACCCTCTACACCCAGAATTGGAGCCATCTATCTCCTAATAGCAGGCTCAACTATAATCTAGGGCTGGGTGTGGTGGCTCACACCTGCAGTCCTAGCACTCTGGGAAGCTGAGGCAGGAGGATTGCTTGAGGTCAGGAGTTCAAGACAAGCCTAAGCAAAAGCAAGACCCCGTCTCTATTAAAAATAGAAGAATAAGCCAGGTGTGGTGGCACATGCCTGTAGTCCCAGCTACTTGGGAGGCTGAGGCAGGAAGATCGCTTGAGCCCAGGAGTTTGAGGTTGCAGTGAGCTATGATGATGCCACTGCACTCTACCCAAGGTGGCAGAGTGAGACTGTCTCACAAAAAAAGAAAAAAGAAAAAAAAAATCCTATAATCTAGTCCTGGAAAAAGTGAACTGAAAGATGATTAGTTCAGAAGCTCAAATGACTGATGTTCAGATGAGTTTGGCTTTTAGTTCTTGCTGACGTATTCCCCTAGGACTAGTGATATAAAGGTTGGTACATAACAGGTGCTCAAAAATTGTTTTATAGCATAGCAACAGGGATTCTGTCTTAGGGCAGCAGTCCCCAAGCTTTTTGGCACCAAGGACCAGTTTCATGGAAGGTAATTTTTCCACGGACTAGGGACGGGGGTGTAGGGTGTTGTTGGGGGGATGTGGTACGGAGCTCAGGTGGCTATGCACGGCCCATTTCCTAACAGGCCACAAACCAGTAATGGCCACGGCCCGGGGGTTGGGGACCAGTCTTAGGGTGTGACTAAGATTTCATCTTTTGCTCTAGGTCCAAATACTAGGTCCCAGTCTACATACCAGTATGTAAGCCCTGTCTTGATAAGTGTTGACACAATTCTTCCAAAATTGGAGATTGGTCATATCACAGCCTACTTCACAGGGGCTGGTCTGTAGCTGGATCCAGCTTTACGTGCTAGTTTCATCCATCTGCTTTTCACCATGCTATCACTCTGACGGACTGAGTCTACTAATGAACTTGAGAGGCTAAACTGGGAAAGAGGGTTACTTAAAGCATGGCAGAAGAATCTCTGCTAGGACCTTGCATGGCGTAATAGCACAGTATCTAAGGATGGCAAAAGGGTGAGAATAGCGGATAGCACAACCAAGAGGGGCTGGTACATGAAATCAAATGTCAGGAATGAGCAGGAATTTTCCACCTGGTTTAACATGAAACTCTGGACACACAGGTAACCCTGGAAGACCTCAGATCTAGAAGGAATTGGGTTATAAAAGAAAACCAAAAGATAACACCAGGATACTAACACATGACTAATTTTACTTTTACTATGTTCCTTTTCAGCCTTGTACATATGCATATTGTTAGATAATTAAATACATGGTAGATATAATGTCACATCCTATTTCTTCCACTTAATTTCACTTATTTATTTAATTGAGAAATAAAAATGAT